TAATATACAAGTTTCACTTTTTAAATGGAATTACTGAAATCAATCTACTTTTTCATGATATTCTAATTTTATGACCAGCACCTGTACAGTAGCAGCCAGTCAAAATGGCCCTTCCCAGCTGAATGGCAGCCCACTTCCCTGCAACTCCCAGCAATATCCCACCCAACTTCCAACCACTGGAGTAACATCTCCTTCTCCTGGGCGTGCATATTTATTTACTCTGACTCCACCCTTTCACTGAATTACAGGGTCTGACCAGGAGATAATGCTTCTCTTTAGATCTTAATGTCCACAAATCATGACAGAAAGAATATTTTAGTACAAACAATGATGTTTAAAAAGAAATTGTATCAAGGAAAGTGGGGAAATTTTGAATGGTATATTGTGCTACACTGTATATTCTTTTTTGTTGTTGTTTTTTAAAGAACAATACATATATACTATTTTCTAAATTGTGTTATTTATTGTCCAAAAAATCTTTAGATGAATTACAAGAGTAGGAGGCAGGTGAACAGAGCTTTCCATTAAAACTAACATATCAGAGGAAACCATGTGCTGTTTTTAGTGTAACAGGAAAGTCTCAGAGCTTCATCTGTATCCGAAACAGCGCAGGTGTGGTCCATAGATGGTTTGGTCTAACCAGCGGCGGAATCTGGACACAGCAGTGTACACACCGGGGAACCTGGCGTCGCCGCAGCCATATCCCCATGACACCATGCCGTACACCCGGCCCCTGCACACTAGCGGGCCGCCAGAGTCGCCCTGCAAACACAAGACCACACCCTCTATCAGTTACTGAGCCTGAAAGTCCCCACAGGTAACACCTTCAGGTTTCAAATATTGCTGAGCCTGTGGGAAAACACCTCAGTATGAGTTTGCTAATCTTTTTGGCTTAAATGTCTCAGTCCTCTAAGGTCACTGTTGTTGCATTATCTTCAAGTGTAAAAATATGATGTGGCCTAATTAGATGTCTCATTCATTTGTTGTTCAAATGGTAAATAACAGAAAAAGGTCTAGCTCACAGATATTAAATGTTACATTTAATATCTGTTTATAGGTTTTTATGAAAGAGCAGCATTGAGAAATTCATCCTAGAAAGAAACCCAAAAGAATTCCAGCTTACAGTTGACCTAATACCATGTAGGGGGAGAATGTGGAGGATGATACTCTGATCAGATGGGATCAACAATAAACTATGTGATAGAAAATTAATGCTGCATGTCTCTCTGAAGACACCATTCCTATTATAAAACATGGTGATGGAGACTCAGTGCTCTGGGAATGCTTTTTTTTTTAGCAGTGTTCAGTGCTTTACAGTGGACTGTCCTGAAAGGACAGCTAGAGCCATTATGGATGCTTCAGATCAATGCCGATTTATGTGTTATACTGGTTAAAAAAGTCCAGATCCAAATTCAACGGGGAATCTGCTGCCAAAGCGTGAAAATTAGTTAGTTAAGTATTTACTATTAAAAAAAATAATAATGGATATAATTTCAGTCTCATAGTCAGTGGAGAAGGCTTGCACCTACAACTGCATACAAGTTTGTTCTAAAGTTTTCACTTAAAAAGCTGATTACAAATGAGCTCTTTGGATTTTCATTTATATATATAGAAAAAAAACAATTAAAGTTTGCCTTCCATCTCACAACTATGCATGGTGTTAAGTTGATCCATTATTCATTGATTCGTTTTCCATCACGCTTTATCCCAGCTAGGGTTGCGAGGGGTGCTGGTGCCTAACTCCAGCTGTCTACGGGCAAGAGGCGGGGTACACCCTGGACAGGTCACCAGCGCATCGCAGGGAGGACTGTGGGAGGAAGCCAGAGTACCTGGAGAGAATCCACACATGCTCATGCAGAAAGATCCCAGGCAGGGAATTGAACCTGCAACCTTCTTGCTGCACGTCAGCAGAGCTACCCACTGTACCACTGAGCAGCATGATTCTTGCAGTATCCATCATGCAAAATCCAAATAAAATAGACTGAAGTTCTTGGTTTATTAGATGACATGTAAAAACATTTTTGGGGAGTGTTTTAAAAACTATTTTGCAGTATTTAAAATCAGTTATAGTTGTATCAGGCCTTTGATGTCAACAATTAGTTTCCTAAAAGGGATATTCTTGATTCAATACTTATTTCTACATTCTTAAGAATGTCATGTTGAATTAACTTAACCAAGTTATGTCAACTGGTTCCACTAAACCTAGTATTATATATTTAATTTTAACAAAAATAATTAAATCACTTAATGAACATTGCAGACTTAAGTAATTCTCTTAAGTGAAATTTAACAGATTTTAGTAAAGGTTAATTATGCCAGTTAAGTATCATTGATTTGAATTAATATTATTGGAGGTAATTTGTGGAATTTAATTTGCTTTAGTTGCAGTTTAACAAGCTAGTTTGATGGAACCAGTTCACTTAATTGAGTTAAATAATTTTGGTCAAATATAAGAATAATGTTTTGGATTTGAATTTAAGTCAGCTGCAAAGCTGATTTACTGATAGTCAGTAATTTGCTGTAGTGCACTAGAGGCTCCTCCATATAACACACTTCCATTTTACTGCCACTAAGCAACCTGGGAAAAAACAGGAAGTCCAATCCTATGAACTGCTACAGAAAACAATAATTTGCATTAATATTTTTGAAACATGAGTTTTTTCTTCTAAACTTTGCTGTCAAATTTCAGCTTTGATGTAATTTGTGGGATGCTTTTCCATTTTCTCTGTAACTATAGTATGTCCGCCCAGCAGTTCATGTGCTGACATGGGAAGCTGTATCATCTAATTGATAAAGGGATGGGCTTTATTATGGTTACATTAAGGATCCTCTTGTGCGACCTGATAAATACCATGAGAAAGGATTTGGGAGATGGAAAATACATTGTATAAAACAATCCTGCATAACATAGTAGTTAAACTCTCTGCTAAACCTTGCATGCATCTTTTCCTCCAGAGTGGGAGCCAGCGCAGATCATGTTCGCCGTGATGTTGCCATCGAAGGAGTCACTGCTGTTGCATCTTGCGGCTGACACAATGGGGACTGTGACCGACTGGAGCGTAACAGGGGCCTGGACTCCACCCACACCATTGTGGCCCCATCCTGACACCTGACACGGGTGGCCTTCGACCACACCTGTCCCCTGTCTGGGGAGAGGTGCCAGGGAGACAAACTTGTTCAGAACCATAGGGGCGCGCAACTGGACAGAAAAAAAAAAGAGTTTAATTAGATGGGACAAAAAAAAGTCTAAAAAGAAAAAATTAAAAGGGTCTAAAGAAATTTTTATTTTATGCTGTACCTTAATGAGCATGATGTCTGCGTTGTTGGTGCTGCTGTTGTACAGGGGATGAGGGATCAGCTTGTGTGGTTTAGCATACTGCTCAGTACCCTCGAAGACATTTAATTTGTAGTCCCCTGCCACTATCATCATCTGATCTGTCCTAAAACAGACACGACACCCACCATCAAAGAGACATGATACAGTGCATAGCAAACTCACAATTATCTCACAAGAGAGCATGAAAGAAATGTTAATTTAGGCAACTTTTCTATTTTGGAGGTAAACAAACATGAGTAGTTATCAGTTTAATTCTATATGTTAACATATGTTTGTTTAATAAGGGAGGGTGTGGCCTAAGGAGATCAACAGCAGTGTGAAGCTGACACCAGACCCACAAGAAAAAAATGATTGAATGGTTAGTGCTTTGTTTTTTTTTTTGTTTTTTTAGAGATGTTAACAATAATTTTTTAGGTTTATCCAGAGGTTATCATCCCCCATTTTTTTTAGTGCTTCCTTAGTGAGGATCTATTTTCCAGGTAAAACTTATGTTTGTGATTGGGTTAATTTTTACTTGAATAGATAAAAAAGAACAACATATGTAAAATAATAATACATTTTTAAACTTATTGTTACCTAATAATTAAGCACACATTGAACACACACTTAAGAAAGAAAAAAACTAACTTTGACTCTTTTAGATCTATTGGTTTGTTTTGTTTTTTACATTATAGTCTTGTTGAGAGCACTGTAGTTGTTTAAAAATCCTTTAGAAACACAACCAGCTTAATAATTTTACACAAGCTGCATTATGAATAATAAATGACATACAGGAAAATGAGTGTGTAGAAATTTTTCCAGATTCTAGAAGAGGGTTTACTGCAGCCGGACGCATTGTGAACAATGGCTTACTGTAAGCTGACAGGACTGGGGCAGTGCTACTCAAATATGGACGATTTCCAGGAATTAGACAAGATGACACTTCACTGTCACTCTGTGTTTAGCACACGAACACACCCACACACAAATGATGCTGCAACAAGGTCAGCTGACTCCACTGTATCAGTATGCAGTTTGACTTCTAAAGGACAAGATTGCTGCGACATTACCTGTGTGTTCCTGAAAGGTCCTTTTTGTTGTTGTTTATACTAATTAGCTCTTATCATTTTGAGAGAGATTACCTTCAACAGTCTCTTGCATACAAGAAAACTGCAATTTGACTGCTGATGTTTTTGCAAGTGTTTTAGAAAAAAAATAAAACTAAAACCTTTTCACATTTTATGACGTTAAAACTAACAAATTTTGCTGTGACAGCGAATAAGGAGGGGGAAAAAGTTTTTGTTCATATTTTTGCCCATTCTTCTCTTTCAAATGGTCAGAAAGTATCTGAGAATATCAGTTATAGTTCTTGCCAAAGGGCTTTAATTAGATTAAAGTCTTTACTTTGACTAGGTCAGTCATATGAATACGTTTGTGGTTACTAACTTTGGTTTTTATCCAGGTTTACTGTGTATTTAGCTCTATCTTCCCATGAACCATCACTAGCTCTCCTGTTTGGTGTAAAGAAAACCTTTCCTCATAGGTCTTACTACTACTAACCCCCGCAACAAACCACTAATACCACCATATTTTACATTGGAAAGCGTGTTTTCAAAATGTTGTTCACTGTCAGCTCTCTACAACACAGTAATTTGTTTGTAGGTCATTGGCCTTTCATCTGGCCGGAGCCCTTTCTTTTATATCTGCATGTCAGCTCAAATTACTTCCAGAAAACCTTAAAGGTCAAGCGTTCAATCAAAATTCTCAATAGTAAAAGTTTATAATGGTGTAAAATTAAAGCATTAATTTTACTGGTTAAAAATACATATAGCATATAAATAAAAGTTTCATGCATTTTGAAGTACATCTTCACAATAAAGTAATATATATATATATATATATATATATATATATATATATATATATATATATATATATATATATATATATATATAACAATACCCCAAAAGATTTGCTTGGCTGATGTGACATGTGGATAATTATGAGTAAAACTTTAATAGAAGTTACTTTTAGGAAAAGAAATCCTATGAAATTGACATGGAGATGGAAATGATAGTGAGAAAGGGAAAGGGGATAAGAATTAACCAAAGAGGAAGTATCCCAGGGACACCTTGTAAATACATGTAAACAAACATCAAAAGAAAATTTAAATGTTATCCAGAGCTATATATAGTTGCAGCTGCTGCTTAGTATTTAGCATAGCAGTCTGCCTGTGAACACCTGCATCTAAATGGCTGTGGTGTATACACGCATGAGTGTGCTTGTGTATATAATATTTTTCAGGCTTCTTCAGTATGAAGATGTACTCAATAGCAGGCATTAGGGGCCCCAGACCCACCCCAAGCATTAACATAACATCACTATTCATAGATCTGGTAACCACAGCTATGGAGCATGATTGCATCACCTACTGGCCAGTTAAACATGTAGCTATCACCTTTAAAATGTTGCTTTCATAGTTTTCTACTTGCCACTTCTCTAATGTCACAAAAGATTAGAGGAATCCACATCCATGTGTTGTGCCAAGTAATTCTTCCTTCATGGATACCAAAGGCCTTTTAGCTGCTTCTGTGATTAATGCTTTTCATGCCAACCTGTCACAACTGTTTCTTGGTTGGCTAGTTTTTTGACTTTACATAGCTTGTTTTAAACATTGAGTCTGCTAATGTTCTCCAACAAACCTATGTGGCCTTTAGCAGCTTTCTGTATTTATACTGAGAATAAATCACACACAGGTTGACTCTGCCAGCAAGTAGGCAACCACTGAAAGCTGTTTTATGTAGGGGCTTAATAAAAATGCTGTGTTTTTTTCTAAATAAGATCCTTTATATGAAATTTATATGAAGAAATGGTATTCTGTTAGTGCTAGAAGACATTACGTAAAGCAGTAGTTTGTCATATGGGTGCACACTTTGTAGAAACGGGGGGGGGGGTGCATGTGGGGCATGTGGTGCTTGTTTGGCCACGTGTCACCTGTTGGGTAGCTGCATTATCAGCTACCCAACAGGTGGGCTGGTATATTTAGTGCATTATATCAGTAAGAAAATATCAGTAATAGATATCGATTTAGACCCAAATTGTCCTAGTTTTATAGCCCTAATACGTAATGATTTTTTGAGATGCTTGCATCAACATCATGAGGCAGCAGTGGTGTCAGAAGTAAACACATTTGTTACTTGAATAAAAGTATAGATACTGCAGTTTAAAAACACTCTGGTAAAAGTTGAAGTATCAACTTGACCTCTTTACTCAAGAAAAAGTGAAAAGGTATGTGCTCCAAAAACTACTTAAAGTATAAAAGTATAAAGTAATCTTTAAAAAAAAACAGCCAGATGCCACTATATGAAGTGAAAGCTAAATTTTTCGACTATTTTGAAAAATTCTTTGAGATAGGGCCAAGGATCAGGGAGGTCTAGTTGGTCTCCGTCTCCCGATACGCTCTCGCCTGTCTCCGACCTTTAAGACATTTTAACATATTTTTCTGAATCCGACATTGTAGCATGGCATAGATAATTCAGGTTTTCAGTTTGAAGAACACCTGCTTGCTTCTGATTATTTCCTTTAGCTTCATCAATTTATTTATGATTTATCTGCAATTACTGGAAAATAGAATCCCATAATAAACAGGTATCCATCCAGCAGTTCATAGTTAGAGATGATTATAGCTGTTGCATACTCTTACCCGATGTTACAGTGCGCGGCAGTCAGAACCCAGTACCTGTGAACTAGTGATCCCCCACAGAAGTGTTGGCCGCTTGTGCTCTGCAGCGATACCATGTATCTGATGGAGTTTGGTGCCGCTGCATTGCCACCTATAATGCGGTTTTGCATGAGTGCTTGGCCTGCATGGAAACACAAAAACATATGGACTTATATCCAGAATATCTATCAGGAATTCTTTAAAAAAATGATGTGCTGTGGTAAATAGAATTAACAGTAAATACTAAGGAAAGCTTCTCTTTGAAAACTAGCAAGAAACCAAAGCTGCATGATTGGAAAGCTGTAACAGACAGTCTTAAGACCACCTAGAGTGAGAAGAATATGTTACTGAAGAGTTCCTCCTTGTCCATGTCCCTCCAAGTTAATTGACTCAGCATAAGAATTTGTACATTTCTGTCATATCAGGGACCTCTGAGTAATAAAGGTAATGGAAATGGCAGCCTCCCTGAGTCAGCACTTCACTCTGACTGCAGAAATATTACAGCAGGGACTCTCCTGCCAGCCTTATGTAACTGCTAAACTATCCAGCTCTGACCTCAGGCTCCACAATCAGTGACAGAAGGAGTTAGGATTGTTTCCCGCAGCCACTGAACATGATAGAAAGGAATACAGATTATCCAAAATGATTCCTATTCCCATTTTTGGACAATTATGGATTCATTGATCTCATCAATAGGGCATATTAGGTTTCAGTGGTTTCCTCAGGGCTGATTCTCGAGTGATAGAACAGACAAGCTTTTCACAAAAAATATGAACCCCAGAAGCTCAAAGTATGAATAAGAAAACAGTAGGTTTGTGGAAGTAAAATAATATCTGATAATTAAAAACTTGTGAGAAGGAAAAAACATTATTAATACAGATTCAATTTGCTAGTCTTTTAAATAATTATATGTTGTTTATAAAAAAAAAAAATAACCACAAAAACTAGCAAGGCAAGTCAGGTTTATTTATGCAGCACATTTCAAAGGGAATATCAACTACTATGATATAATTAACCCTTCAAAACCTGAAACCATGAAATATTTGTCAGACAGTCTTTTCAACTAGAGTTGTCAATGAACATTTTGACAAATGAAAAGAACATATAAGGATCAGAGGCGTTTAACTCAAAGGGTTCAACTTTGCTTCCACCATTGTTTATTTTTTTATCCCCAGAGTTAAACCTAAAATGATTGTTTAGGAAGGAAATTTCACTGCTTTATAATTTTCAACTACCGTAAATGGATAAATAGTCATTATGCAAAAACATTCAGATTTAATGTTGCGAGAGAGAAATGTTATTTTTAGGCCTTTGGAGCAGTATTTGAATAGCAGCTATGCAAAGCTGTTGCAGTGGCTCATATGTTTTGTTTACATGTGTGAGAGTAAAAAGGAATAAATTTACAAGTGTAAATACCAAGGATGGCAATGCTAAATCATGATTCACTTTAAGCATTATATAGTCTGTTGTGCAGCAATAGGTTTGATTCTGCTATGAACTATTTATCACCACCTGATAATCAGGAAATAGCCTAATCATAATTGAACTTTATTAATCACACATTGGAGAAATTCACTCTCTGCATTTAACGCATCCCCATGGAGAGTAGTGGGATTGCCTGTGTGGCGCCCAGGGAGCAGTATGGGATTAGGGGCTTGCTCAGGGACCCAGAGCTAGGCCACTCCCCCCTAATAAGATTTAGTCTCTGTCAGTTATTGTCCAATGAATACCAGCCTTCCATTATAGAACAATGGCAGGGGAAGTGAAAGTATGGACCAATGTTCTCTAAGGACACAACAAAGTCTTTACCTAGACTAATATATTTAATCAAAACTACTGTGTAAAAACGTAATTAAAGGGAAAAAATGAGAAAATGCTGCATCTAAGAACCAATAAAGCATTGTAACAAAATATTAGAACCAATGCTTGTTTTAAGGAATTAGGAAAGAGAAATAAGTAGTTTAATGTCTTAACCAGACATCAAAGTACTGACTGAAGGGAGTGATGAACAGCCAATATGGCCGCACGCTATGGCCGATTGCTGCAGGAACAGAGCAAGCTGTGTATTCAGCACGGCAAAACTAGCCACTATCCGACCTTAGCTTCAACTCTAGCAGCTGGGATATTTAAGACACAGTTTAGATCAAAGTATTGTTCAGATATACATTTTAGGCATGCTAGTGAGAAAGCCCCAAAGAAACAAAGTTTGGTTCTTTCTTGTCTTGGCTCTTATTTGTCTTGGAAAAAAACGCCTTTCTTCCAGCGGCTCCACTCCACCCTACATATTTTCAAACATTTTCTTTAGTCATTTTTATTACTGGTACTTGCTTTTTTAAGCCTTACTAATTGTTGATCATTCCTACTCTTGAGCAGGGCAAATAAAGCCAGTACCGGTACTGAAAGGGAGTAATGGAAATGTTTAAATGGTGGGGTGGAGTAGAACTAGGACAATTGGAGCCGATGGAAAAGGGGCAAAAGGTTCTCACTGGTTCTGGATTCTGCAGGCAGAGGTAATAGGAAAAAAGGAGATTAGAGAGTAGATGCTTTGTACCGATCTCCCAGATTTGGTTGAAATGTGTTGATTCGTAAATGTGCAGAGCTAATCATAAAATTCTTATTTTCATAGTCGTTGATTCTTTTTCTGCAGTGATTAGACACAGAGAAAGAGACATAACTTTAATAATCTAATCTTGATGATAAGATTTACTCATGCTGATTCACATTTAAGGTATCTATTATGCTATGTTATGTCATTTGACTGAATGGAAAGACATTTTCATTTCACATTTTCATAAAGCAATTTTCTAAATCAGCCAAACTAGATTATTCATTGAGATAATTACTTCTCTTTGTGGTTTGCTCTGAAGTTTATTTTTAAGCCTAGCTCAAAGGATTGTGCAGAATTATTGGTAGCCATTCAAATAAAAAGGGTTTCAAATTAGATTCTGTTTTTGTTGATTTTGTTGCACTGGGGAACATCAGCGCCTGTCTCTCTCTCTCTGTCTCTGTTCTTCCAGCGTTTCACATTGTCTCTGAGATGTGGAAATAGTGGGGCTTCTTTTGTTTCTTAGTAAATTTTTCTTTATTGCATTCTGCACGCATGCAGTAAAATGTAAGAAGGCAGCACTTCGTCATTTTTACACATTTAATGTTTCTCATCTGACTGATATAAACACCAGCAAACATTTTTGTAAAATGCATTACAGATTTAATTAAAAGGTATATCATAAACTATTCAGTCTAAAGACATGTTCGATTTTTTAATTAGGCATTGAAAATAAATTAAAGAATTACTACTCACTGTGGAACATGGTTAGATCCAGGAGCACAGACCATAAACCAAAAAGCAGCTTCATCATAGCAGACAAGGACGTTACCTGAGATCATACATATATATGTATATATATATAGAAATAGCTGAATCGCTGCAGGCAGACAAGCAGCCTCCTCTCTGTCGGCCCAGGATGCTTTTTCCTTCTTCTCTGGTAACAGTGGAAGTTATTCTAATCAATCTTCATCCTTAGGTTTCCTGTGAAAACAAAGGTTTTTAATTTCATTGGTTTTCATGAAGCAGCAAGGTGACCCCTTCAGACAGAAAAAAAAATACAACAAAGTTTGCTTTCAGAAAGTCTTTTTTATCAGAACTGTCTGTCCTCTGACCTGCCTGACTTGTTGAAAGGCCTAAGTTTGTTGCCATAGCAACAAAGAAGGTACTCTGTCCAAGCGGGGTGCATCTATACTGTATCAGCACGCTATGTTTCATCATCCAGGATTATCCCTGCTGAAATATCCATGTGTGTGTGTGAACTGCTCTTTTGGCATCCAAATGAGGACCATTTTTTCTGATTTTACCACCAAATTCAAGAACATTTATGCCAAAGTGAGGACAATTTCATACTTCATATTTGCTAATGGTTTGGTCTATGATTAAAACCATGTGGTTTTTGTTGTGTATTTTCCTTTTTGTATTCACACTGCAGTGGAAATGACACTATCTGCCCACAAGTGTCTCTTTCTGACTCATTGACCATCCCTGAATCTGTGTCCGCGACGATAAGAACTTGTTATGAGCCTGATGACTCTACCACGACAATAGCCGTGATGATGACTATGTGGAGGAGCCATCTGGCAGCTCCTCATCATCCACAGTCGGAGGGTTTGCGAAAGATGCCTGACCTCCATTTGTCCCTCATTTAAAAGCAGCTGAATAATTGATGTTTCACCCAGAGAAAGGTAAAGATGGCTTTGTGTAGCATTTCACTGCCGGGTGTTTCCCACGTCAGAGCTATTGTGTTCTGGAGCTGCAAAATACCACAACAAACAACCCGTTTTCCCAGCGGGAACTACATAAAGCTTAGATTGAACCATATTTATGTGCTATAAGAAAAACAGGTAAAAGTTTCAGTCTGTATGCCCAAAGCTGGTACTAACCAACTATTTCTTTTATCTCTATGTATTTCTTTTTTAATGGTTTTTTAAATGCTTTTTTGTAGCACTTTGAGGCCTTTTTGGTGAAAAGTGCA